TTGATATGGTAATAATATCAGATAAAAATATTAAAACGGCTATCTCTCGCCTAAAATTAAACAAGACCAAAGATGCGAATGGAATCTCTGCAGAAAATTTAAAACATGCACGTTGCGAAGCCATAACAAAGTGGCTAAGGAAATTCTTTAACTTTATTATCAAACACGGTCAGGCCTTAAAATCGATGTCTACATCACTTATTATACCTCTTGCTAAATCTTATAAAAAATCATTTACTGATTCAATTAACTACCGTGGTATTAGCACCATTCCAATCTTTACAAAATTAGTAAAATATATTATTTTAATAATCTGTCCAGAAATAACAGAATCTCATCTTTTTTAATTTTTTAAACTTTTTTTAAATTTTATGATTTGTTTGTGCTTTGGCATCAACAAATATTTATATTAAAAGTAATAACAAGTCTTTATTAAAAATAAATTATATAAAATTTAAATTACATTTTATATAATTTTTAAAGTATAAAGTAAAAAAACAATTTATTATTATTATAGTTGTAGCCGTAAATTTACATAGAATGTACACATACAGCGAGCAGGGGAAACACCCCACTATAAACAACCAGTTTTATAAATATTTGGTCCAAACTTTTTCCACAACCAGGAGTCTAGTCTATTTTTGAAAGAAAGTACAGAGGAGTACAAAGTTATTTGCTCTGGTAGATTGTTCCAGTATTTTGCTGATCTATTATACAAATGATTATATCTTGGAAGACAGTTTAGAACATACTCACGCCTTATTTTAGAATGGTGACCACGAGACACGGAGTTAATATATTTTGGTAGATATTTATCATTAACTATATCAAAACGATGTATTAATTTAAAAATTTGGATTAAATCGCATCGAAGGCGTCGAAACTCAAGTGATGGTAGGTTTAATCTTTTTAGCCTTTCGCAGTATTGAAGATGCCTCAAGCTGTAAACCCATTTTGTAGCTTTGCGTTGAACAGATTCAACCAAAGCCATATCAGCTTTTAAAAAAGGAGCCCAAATGGACACTCCATATTCAAGATGTGGTCTTATAAATACTTTATATAATTTGAGAGCCATTTTTTCATCAATGAAAGTGAATGTCTTTTTCAGCATACCGAGAATTTGTAAGGACTTAGAGACAACTGTTTGAATATGAGCGCTCCACTTGAGGTTAGATGTAAAAATGACTCCTAAATCACGTTCTTTAGTAGAGCTTCTTAGAGATTGGTTGATTCCTTGGTTATTTTGAAGAAAGTAATTGTAATGGGGGTTGTTTCGACCGTAATGAATGACGCAGCATTTTGAAGTGTTTAGCTTAAGTAACCAAGTGTTTGACCACTCGTATACCAAGCGTAGACGATCCTGCAGATCAACAAAATTAGATTGCGATAAGGTTTTAGAAAAAAGTTTAGTATCATCGGCAAATATCTCAGAAGTTTCAGTGAGTTTTGCAAGATCATTTGTGTAGAGAATGAAGAGGAGCGGGCCGAGAACAGAACCTTGAGGAACACCACTGAGAACATCAACCCATGCAGAGCTGGTATTGTTAATTGTAACGCGTTGCTTTCTGCCCACTAAAAAAGATTTAATCCATTGTAGGAGTTTGCCGTTTATTCCGAAAGATCTTAATTTTAACAAAAGTCTGTTGTGAGGTACAGAGTCAAACGCTTTGGCAAAGTCAAGATAGATTACATCAATAAATTGGTGAGATGCTATGGAGGACGAAATGATATCAAAAGTTTCTATTAGGTTAGTTACGCATGATTTATGATGAAGGAAGCCATGTTGATTTGCAGAGAGCATTTTATTATCGTTAATGTGCTTTAAAATTTTTTTCTTTACAAGTTTTTCAAAGATTTTACAGGCAACAGATGTTAGTGAAATAGGTCTATAGTTTTCAGCAAGTAATTTATCTCCCTTTTTTTTATAGATCGGACTAATATTTGCTAATTTCCATTGAGTGGGTACTACTCCAGAATTAAAGGATTTATGAAAGATTTTTGTTAATGGAATTGCAAAGCTTTTGGCACATATCTTGAGTATTAAGGGATGCAAGCCGTCAGATCCGAAGGATTTATAAGGCTTTAGATCGGCAAGTTCCTGAATAATATCTGAGATAGAGAAATCCAAGTTTTCATTATAAATGCATTCAGAAAGAATACCACTTTTATTTAGCAAAGGAAAACTTTCAGAGCTTTCAAGTGTAAACATAGATTTAAATTGAGAGTTCAGAAGATCAACTATATCAGGAAGAGCTTCAATAATTCTGCCTGAAGTATCTTTGAGAGAGCGAATTCTATCTTTAATTTTTAGTTGTTTGTTGATATGTTTGTAAACGATTTTTGGGTTGTTTTGGGATTTTGATATTATTTCTTTTTTATGTGCTTTTTTTGCTTTAAATATTTCAGTTTTTACTGAACGATTTAGGCTATTGTATTTTATTTTAAGCTCACTATTCTCCCATTTGGTAGAGCAGTTTATATGCCAAGCGGATTTTTTTTCTCGGATCAGGTTTTTAATATGTGGGGTAACCCAAGGATCATACTTTTTTTTTGTTTTATTAATCTTGGGAATAAAATATGTGCAAGCAGTGCGATAGTTAGAAATTAGTATATTGAACATTTGATCTGCAGTTTTATGCAGGAATAAAAACTCCCAGTCGATTGATGCAATAAAGTTAGATATTGAATCGTAATCACCTTTTTTGTAATTAAACGATTGAGATTCACTTTCGGTAAACAGTTCTGAAACTAAGAATCTCCAAGTGATACTAAAATGACCCTTAGTGGTGTTACCTAGTATAGTACTAGGAGACAAGTTTAAAATAGAATTACTGTTGTAGGTAAATAACAAGTCCAACATATTATTTGAGGAACCATAATCAGTCTGGAAAGTAGGAAATGTGATATGTTGAGTAAAAAGGCTGTTTTGGAAAATATTCCAGAAATCATACTCGGTAGGATTGTTTGGGTTAAAAGATTCAATACCATCGTTAGACCACTTTATATTCGGGAAGTTAAAGTTACCGACAATCAAACAGTCATCATAGGGCTTTTTAATTAAACTATGAGCTAATTTGAAGGATTCAGCGACATATTTTATTAAACTGGCATCATTTGGTCTGTATATACAACCAATAAGTATATGTTTGTTGTTAAATTTTACAGATACCCAGACTTGTTCGAGAAAATTTGTATAAAATTGGTTAACTTCATGAGAGTTAAATACGTCTGTAATGTAGATAGCTACACCGCCACCTCGACGTCCGTCTTGACGATCTTTACGATATAGGCTATACCCATCGATATTAGGTACTGAGTCATTTCGAAACCATGTTTCAGAGATAACAATAACGTGATAATCAAACGTTCTAGATATTGAAATTAAATCGGCCATTTTATTATCGAGAGATGTAGCATTAGTATAATAACAATTAACGCTATAGTTTGTTTTTTTGTTATGAAGATTTTTACTTTTGTATTTTAAGTTTGCTGGTAAAAGAGTGGAAGAAGGGTAGTAATGTTTATGTAGTGGTTTGTATATTTTTGAGTTTGACGACTCCGCTGCTTCGTATACCGTATCTAAAGGGCGATGTTTTTAAATTGATATTACTATTTAATTCATTACGCTTCATTCTTAACTGATAGTTTAAATATCTTTCAGCCTCAGTCAAATCTGGGCTTATAAAAATATTTTTATAATTATCTGAATTTTTCAATTTTTTTGCTGCTGTTAATAATGGGTTTCTTTCGGAGACATCAGAAAGTTCGACGATAATTGGTCCTGGTTTAGAGGACGTAGATTTAATACGTTTGACAGATTTTGGTTTTGCATCAGATGAAATAGTAACTAAGATATTCTGAACCGTTTCCTTATCGTCCTGAACCGTTTCCTTATCGTTCCTGAACCGTTTCCTTATCTTATTCTGAACCGTTTCCTTATCTATTTGGATTTGTTAATGTCAAAGCACAAACAAATTTCTTTTTCAATTAATAGCCAAGTCAATGAATAGGGGCGACCGGGGTTGTCTTCAGTAATTTGATCTTATAATTTATTTTTTATTTATTTTTTTCATTGTTTAAGGGGGCGCCGTTAGACCGTTTTAGGGAAGGTGGGGGGGCAGCTTGTCCCCCATGCCTTATACAAAATCCGCCACTGCTTGCCATATGTACACTACCAAATACAATTATTGCAAAAAGTCTTTTTGAAATAATTGTTTTTGAAGGTTATCAGCTCTTTTTAAAAGAGCTGATAAACAAAATGTAAAAAAAAAAATAGTAAAAAAAATCTAAATGTATTAAGGAAGCTGGCAACTTTCATAAATTATTATTTAAGAATATTGCTAAAGTTACTTTAATAATAAAAAAATAAAAATTTATTAGTCTGAATGAGACTTTTGACATATTTTTCAAAATTTAATGTAAAAAAAACTAACTTGTAAAAAAAATAAAAAGTTACTTTTAAAATAAATGTGTGTGCTATTATTATTATTTTTTTCATTCACTTTTTGTAATCTGATAATTTAAATTGAACGAAATATAAAAAATTTATCTTGCAAAAGTTTATAACAAAAATAATTCTTTTTAAAAAAGACAACTACTAATGTGACGTCACATTTCGCTTGAGCGGACCTTCTACTTTAGAAGGCCTTGATACATCGAATATTTATATCGGAAATTATTATTATTTTGATTTAAATAAATTATATATTATAACTTAATAACAAAAGAAAACTTTATAAAAAATTTAAAACACTCTCAATTTTTTGAAACTGTTCCGATGTAAAATAAGAATATAAACTGTAACTTTATTTAAAGGAGTAAAAGGTATGGCGACGAGTAAAAGGTGTGCGTAGCCTAATCTCTAGTTTGAAGTTTTATTATTCTGGTTGAACAACTTTGGCGACAATGAAAATAGTAACTTTTGTTTTTACACAAGCTAATCAAGCGTGGATAATCTATACTATATAATAGATAGAAAAATGCTGCAAACAATAAAACACTTGTAAAATAAAAGTGGTTGTGTTAAAAAATGAATGTAATAATTTCAAATCTATTCTTTTTTATTTTTGCAATAACCGTAGAATCTGCAAAAGTAAAATATATCAATGATAGTCTAACAACTTATCAAAAGATAGTCGAAGTTATTAGGCTGTCAAATAAACCTTTTTTAAGTGACATCAGTGAAAAAGACGATCTTGTTAATTGGTTTTCTAGTGAATCTTCAACAATATGGGAGCAAGTAAAAAGTTTCACTGATGAAGTTATTCTTCCGTTAAATTTTACCTCCACGCTCATAAGGTTAGCCATTATTCCCAGTACTTTATTAGGTTAACCATTACTTTCAACAAGTTTTCTGGCCCCAAACTATTACTTAATAAATATATTTGTAATAACTAACCAATCGCGTTTGTTGAAGTTGAACTTTTCAATAGTTTATTAAAAACGAAAAAGTGTCCATATATATATATATATATATATATATATATATATATATATATATATATATATATATATATATATATATATATATATATATATATATATATATATATATATATATATATATATATATATATATATATATATATATATATATATATATATATATATATATATATATATATATATATTTTCTTTAGCGAAAAAAAAGATGAGGTGGAGACAATATCTGGATTTTTAGAAAAAGGAAATGGCTTAAAAATCAAAAATGATTTTTCAAAGTTTCTTTCAAAAAAGGTTTATAGATTTTATATAATAAAATAAGATATTAATAAAAGTTTTTATTTATAAAATATAAAATATTTTTTATTATTATAATTACTTAATAAAATATGTTTTATTGTTAGATTAATTTTGAATATCGTTTAAAGAATGTCACAGAAAAGTGAATTTTATGTTAAACTTTTTTATAACTATAGGATAAGTTCTTCCCACAAACTATTTCAAGCAGTAATATGTCATTTGATCCAAACTGGATAACTTTAGTTATCTATTATATGAGAGCTTCTTCATTGATTCATTTAGCACTATTGGATCCTCGTCAATCTAAAGCAAAGGTATTTATGTAATTAAGCAAAAGTTATAAAAAACTGTTAAAATGAATGAGTTTTATTTATTTTTGTTAAAAAACTAATTATCTAAACTAAAAATCTAATTTTAATATTGTTAATAACCTTCAGTATATGATTTTATATTTCATCACGTATAATTAAACGCGTTTAAAATATTTATTTTGTACTTGAAAGTTTTTTATTAGTGAAAATAACAGTGGATGTACCCAAAATTCGACTTTGACTTATACATTTTTGCCGATACTTCGGCTTTGACTGAATTTAGGGGTGTTGTTTGATGAACCATTAACTCCGATAAATTATTTTTTGGTAAATAAAATTACTAAAACTTGGTTTCCAATAGTAGAAATAAAGCAGTTGGACAATTTTGTTGTAAGCTACTTTTGCAGAAACCAGTTTGTTTCTACTTCCACAACAAGTGTTTTACAACATAAAATTCATTTACACAACCGTCGTTAAGTTACATAACTTACACTTTTTATTGTAAAACAATTATCTAATGCATCTGTTGTGCGACATTCTTAAACAGCAAGTTTAGGCAACTGCTATAATATTTATTAAATTTAAATAACGCTTTAGCATGGAAAAAGAGATTAAATATTATTATTTAATCTCTTTAAATTATCCAATAATATTATTAGTTGGCGTAGAAAATAAAGGGAGTCGACGGTCAACGACCGTTCGAAATTTAAAAAACTGCTAATTTCGTTTTAAATAATGAATTCTTACCGGTCAAGGTTGACCAATTAAAGAAAAATAATTATGGAAAATAAGGTTTTATGAAATATAATTTGGTTATAATGTTTTATTAAATATTATGTTATCACATATGTAAATATGGATATTAAAGTTTTATGAAACATAAAAATAAATTGTATGAAAAATAAGGTTTTGAAATAACCAGTATCTATTTTGAAAGTACATATTTAAAATTTCATAAATTTTATATTTATCTATATATTTAACACAGCATGGTGTTTGAATAAGAAAAAGTTAAATTAGGCAGACTGTTTAAAAATGGTGTGAAATTTAAGTAAAGTTTTTAAGTGCGAATTTTGAATCGGACTATTGAGGCAAAATAATTATTGCGTCATTTCATAGTTAAACGTGAATACGAAGTACAAGACTGATTTTCAAAAAAAAAAATTGCTGAAAATTTATTATGATTTGGGGGTTTGCCTGTCTACAAACTAAATTAAATTGCCTGCCCATTTTACTAGTGATCAGAATCCGCCACTGAATTATAAAAAATTTGTAGAAAACTAAAACAAAGTTATTATTCACAGGGCCGGTGTCGTCGGCCTGATTCAAATTAAATTACTAAATTTAAAAGCAACTCAAAAATAGTTAAAAAATTTTAAAAGAAATATTAGAAAAACAGAAAACAAATTTAAACTTTCTTCCGTTTTATCTTTCTCAAGTGGCAGAAGAACAATTTTTAAATGGGCTGAGCGAAAAGACGATTGGTTGACTATGACGCAACTTTAGAAGTCATAATATATGGCAGCATACAACTGTGTTTGCAGAAAAAATTTAAATTTTATCCAAAAAGGTAACTTTTTTTACAAGAAAATTGACCAAAGATTTAATTGAAAAAACGTTAACATGAATTCAAAGTGACCGTCAATTGAAATAGGTGGCCGTCAAAATAGTGATACTAGGACAATATAATATAAGCATCAGCAAAACAATAAGTCCAAATCAGAGAATAATCTTTAGTAACTCACTAAATGACACTTCTTTAATCAGCATACAAATGCTCCAACTTTCCATATCTCAAAAAAGTGGCATATAATATATTCGATCTAATATTTGAAACTGAATTCGAAAATTTATGTGCCATAGATACACAGTTTGTGCTTGGTAATACCAAAAAAGGACATTTGGTATTATTTTTTAGTTACTTTCTTAAAAACAATATGAAACTTCTTTCTACAAACTTTTATAAATTTGTTTAAAAAAAAAGCAAACTATGATAAAATTTTAAATGTTGACTGTGTGCAACTGTAAAAATTATACCAGTTCATAATATGTATAATGAATTCGTTTATTACTCCAGTATTGCAAACAATTTATTTACTGCCACTGCTGATGTTTTACAAATTAGAAGTATGGAAAATCCTTGGATAAATAAAGACCTTAAATTCCTAATTGGGAAAAAAAGAAACTTGAGATATAAAACTGTCCTAAAAAATAAAACATGCTAATTTGAGAAAGTTTCGGATTGTAAAATCTTGAATAAAAAATTCTAAAATGAATTATGAACAAGAGTTAGTTAAAAAAGCTAAATAAATTCCAAAATTGCTATAAAAGTATATTAAAACCCAGTGAATGGTAAAAGATTTAATAAAGTTTTTAAGAAAAGACGATGGATATGTTTCACAAGATCAAGTTGAGTTAGCGAATATTTTTAACAAATGTTTTCAAGATGTATTTGATATTAAAGCCGATAGTTCTCTTTTGAGTCTTAACAAAAATAAAGCCTTTGGACCCCCGCGTCATCTAAGTCGGTCAACTGGCGTCCCCTAAATATAAATTTCTCATTACAAAATTCTGCGTTTATTTTAAACGGAAATAAAAAACGGAATTAGAAAACAAACCATCATTTACATACCTGCTTTATAAATTTGCCCGCATATATGGAGAAAATAAAACGGAGACGTTTTGTTTTAAGAAATTAACTCTATAATCATAATGTTAACAATCAATGTATTTTTTACAAAGTTCGGTGTATCAAAGCTACTGCTATAGTAAAGTAAATAAAATGTTCATAAAATTACAATAATATGTTCATAAAACTAAAATAGCTTTGCAAACGGTAAACGTTTTTTTTCAACGGAGAAAAACAAAAAATTATCAATAAACTGATTTCAAAAATGAACGTAAGACGTTTATACAACGTTTTAGTGACGTCATAAGGAAGGAAGCGTAAAGTTTATTGTTAAATGGTATTCCGAGGTACTCTGTGATACGACCGTTCGGACCTATTGGAAAAAATTATTAAAACTGTTAGGTACCCGGTTTTTTGAGTTCCTAAGCTTTCCAATCCTTCCTTTTTTAGTCTCTTACTCAAGATAATTTATCACTGATAATAATATATGACTGCTTTACGATGTCAGTATATTATATCAAGCATTTCATATTTTATTCGTAGAAATAATCTTATTTGTTTTATTGTCTTTCCAAAATTGATGCATATTAATAATATTTAGTTATTATTAGTTTGTATTTTTGTGTGTTTAATGTGTGTACTTTGATACACCGAACTTTGTTAAAAATACAAAGACTGTTTACATTATGATTATAAGAGATAATTTCTTGATTACAAAAAGGCCCAGGACCTTAAGACATAGCACGGGCAAGAGGGGAAGGGAAATATCCCCCAACCTCCCTCACCATTCCCACCCTGCTTGCGATAGCTTTTTTCGTGAATTTATATTTTGATCAAAATTAACGTTTTCAAAATTTGTTCTTTAATTATATTTATTATAAAATATTTTAACTAATTTAAAGCATTAAAAAAAAAATGTGACTTAATATTTAGATAAATAAGATTTCGGTAACTAATTATTGTCATGATTATTATTTTTTACCATTTAACGGGTCGCTCAGACGACATGAAAATTATATATAGACTATATTTGTGAGCAAGTAAGCGCACGCCGTTAGGCCCAATATCCCCGTGTTAAGTGTCAAATTTGATTTATTCTTATTGCTGTATTGCTCACGTTAAAAATATTTTCAAGTAAAAAAGATAATAAACCTAAAACTTTTAAGGATTTGAGCGTTTATATGGGAAATCTGTGTGGCAAGAATGGGATGAAGAGAGGGTGTGGTTGTTAGATCCAGATTAACAATTTCAGTTAAATATACTTCAGATATAGTTTTGCTGATGTGATCTTACGTTAAAATTTTTTTTTATTGGTACCTTAAACGTGTTGCCAGCTGTCCAAAAAAGACTTCTAAAAAAAGCGAATAAAAAAGTACAACGTCCTGCCGTTGCGATGATGAATGGTCGGTATTTAAGCAACGAAATTGAGATGAAAAGATTATGTTTGGTCTGTAGAATAGATAACCACTTAGCTCAATGCTGCTTCAAAAAGTTTACGAATTCAAAAATAATATAAGTGAGATCAATTGCCCTTGTGCAAGTGACCTCACGCTTTTCACACAATTTCGAACCACAAAATCTTTGAACTTGTGTGAGAATCTTCTGATAATCAATTAATAACAATTTTTGAATTTCAACAAAAGTGAATCTAGAATTTCAAGAAAGTAAGTTAATATTCTGGAGCTTCAAGAAAAATTCCTAGTAAATTATATCAAAGTACCTTAAGCCCAGTAATAATTTAAATACACCATCATTCAATATAACAATTCGGTTTTATTATCCTCATCATTTTCATTTTCGTAAGCAAATAGTCCCACTTTTCAAATATCTATAGCTTCTAGCACTGTGTCATCATTAGATCAATACACACTTCGAATAAAAATTGGCCTAAAAACCTGTCAATTGTGAAATCAGAATTTATTACGCTGTTTCTATGAGAGAAATGCGTGATGCTTTTTCAATGTGATAACTAAAAAAATTGGAAAGTTTAAAGATAAAAGCATTGGCTGAACACATAAAATCATCCCGAATTCATGAACAGGCTGGATGCTCTTCGATTAATAAAAGCCAACCGGCAGCCATATTCACATCCTTCCTTCAAACCCTGCAAAAAGCTATCGGTTGGTTAAAAGTAAATCGGAAGTTTTTAACGTCAGCAATAAAATAAACTCGTATTCTGATGTCTCCGTTTGGTTAACGGCAGGAGTAAATTTTGTTATCGGAAGACTGTTAACTCCAAAATCTAACCCTGCTATACCCTTCGCTTAAAACTTTTATTGGAGGAATTTTCTATTATATTAATAAAAAATGGTATCCTATTAAAACAAACATAAACAAATAAGTTTACTTTTATAACAAATAATCTATAATACTT